GCGACTTTGCGTGGATTTACTTAAGAACTATGACCGACATAAACCGCAAGCTCTTCGTGACCGTACGCAGAAATTTAATGAGATCGTCAGTTTGAAGAGCCAATACGGTTTCTCGAAATCTTCTTGAGAATATATTAGATTTGTTCGCTTCATGGAAGCTCGGTTGTGAAACAGGATAACGGAACAAGAGATTTAACAAGATTCTCTGATTGGAAAATAAATTGTCGGGAATGCCTCGAAATTGCGAAATAATGCGAGACTTACAATTGCTTATCTTGTATATAGAATTTTTGCTATTTTGAAACTCTACCTGGCGATCACAACTCCGGAAAGAGATTGAGAGAAAAAAACTCAAAGTTAAAGTATGTTTGACAAAAGAAAGAAGGTCACAAAAATTGTAAATATTTTGTGCTTTCTTTCTCTTGTATTTTTCAATTTTTACAATAAGGCTGAGGTGAGGACGTAAGAAAGTTCTTCGCGGCTCCGAAGAGTATCCGAACAAAAAGCTTTTGATCTTATGGGCAGCTGAGACTCAATGCACTATCGAGAAACTGTAAACTAGGATCTTGACATCGTAGTTTCACAGAGACCGAGCGTAAACGAGCGTTCTCGAGTTTTGTTGCAAAAAATTAGTTGCCGATAAAAACATGTTTGTCGATCAAAAATTTGTGTTTTTTAAAATATTTACTATTATTTAGACACTCACATTATTATTTCGATACACGCGTGCTCCCATTTGGGAACCCCTGATGTGACTTACACACAACACGTACGTGCTACTACAGTGAGTGAAGTAAAAACGTGTTTCCTTGCTCTTTTATTTTGGCTGTAGTGGTCAAATTAAAAATAGCCATGTATATAAGAACAGGTGAGAGCAATATGTACATACGTATGTACATATGTAATTCAATTTTGCGAGCAAGAGAGTGTGTAAAGGTACACGGGGGCGCTTTCCACGCTTCACTTGTCGTAAAACCAACTTCCAAGCTCTCCAGGCCGATAACCTAACCAGATATTCGAACATCAGAGACTGAGCGAGCAAGGTGACAACAGTTATGACGTGAGCGTGCGAAAGATGATCGGCATCTCGATCGGTGTCACTACTGACTGCCAAATATGCGTCAGCGGAAATTTTCAAGACACGCGATGCGGAATGTGAATGTCGAGTTGAGACAAAGATTCTATTTATTTTTTTTCACAAGAATAATACTCATACTGTGTTTATATTTTTATATCTTTTTTTTTTCATTTTTCTTCTTTGACAATTTATACCGCGTCTGAATCTTTTGAGAAAAGTTTCTTGTGAAATCCTTTGTCTGCCATGATGCAAATACTTAAACGGATGAAGCTGATTAAAAGCAGAGAAATTGTTTTTAAATTAGAAAATTAAAACATTTTAAGAGAACGTCTGAAAAGAGTTAACGGAAATTCAAACTAAGCGGAAAATTTTTCAATACTTCTCTCTCTCTCTCTCTCTTTCTCTTTATTATACTAAAGCTATTTTAAAATTGCGCACGTCATCTAATATACAAACATTAACTGAATAGCACCGAATGTATGTACCGAAAGTGAAGTTAAACAATGTGAAAGTTTTTAAGAAACGCCCACGGGAGAGACGCGGCTTCACGCATCTTGAATCAATGAACGCGAAATGTTGAGAAACCAACAAAGGATCCGGATACTTTTTTGCACGTTAGAACAACATCAAACGACGATATCGAGAGACGGTGAAGTTAATCGCCTCGTGCGAGTCTTCTACGCAGATCGTTTCCGACGTGGGAACGATCACGTTCAAAGTACGCGCAAAACGATTTGGCAGCCGTCGTTGATCGCACGTCGAACGTTTCAACTTTTATTAATAGAATCCACCTCACACACCTTCCAATTCGATGGTCAAATCGGCGCGTACCTGTATCGCGTTTGCAAGCTGCACTTTACCTGTTTCGTGCAAGCAAAAACGCTAACGAAGGACATTTTCCCATTTTTCCGCAACGTGATAACTTGCTTTTGTTAAAAAGCGCCCGAACAAACGAACGCAGCAGCAACGCACAGTGAGCATGATATTTTCATCAAACGCACGTGGAAAATAGCGATACCGCGCGCAGCGATCTGTAGTTTGTTTCTGTCAGTCGACATTACCTTGCAGCAATCAATGGCGCGCTGCAATCGTCATATTTCCAGCCAGATTTATGTATCGCACACAAATATAATATCGTATATTTATTAAAGCTCCACGTAATAAAACGCTGCGATTTAATGATTCGGTTGTGCAGAAAATCGTGCCGCGCAGAAAATTGTCACGTTTAACGACGCAAGTCACAATTTCCACATATTTTTATTCAATTTTATAATTTTACCTTCCTCGCATATTTACTCGATTTTATCTACTCCTAATCATTGTTATAGTATGCGATCCCGCGAACTTTCATCGAATTACACACGACCGCTGGCGTGGTCGATAAAAATAGTCAATGACGATCGGGGCGAGATACCGCGAAGTCTTCGTCGTCTCATTTAACGTTCATCCGGCTAACTTCCAACGCCACGAGAAATGCCCTCACCGGATTTTGGCAAAGCCAGGACGGTAATCGGATTGTTTCCCTCGAGGCGTCTAGCGAATCTGTCCAATTTTCTCTCTTTCTCTTCCTCTTTCTCTCACACTCTTTCGTTTTCTCTTCAACGCAATCGATCCACCCTCGTTTTCATTTATTCGTATGTATGCACGTACAAATACAAGTAGCGCACATGTCGGGCTAAACTTCGTACCAACAAAGGTGCCGCGACAAAGGGAGGAGGGAACGAACGAACGGACGGGATATCGGTGTTCTGAGTCGCTGAACAGGACGTGCGTTGTTCTCTCAACAGTTGACAGCCGCACGTTGACATCGGCTTACTTGTGTGTATGTGTAGGTAGATATGCACATGCACGCATTCTGCAAGCATGTGACGTCGAGAGTCTTTTTTCACGAGCCTCTTTCCACCTTGTATTTATAACAAGAAAACGTACATTTTTAGGCAAAAAAAAATTGAAATCACTTAGATTTTCACTAACAAAGATACGACCTCTGGATTAAAAAGTCTAATTTTTAGATTACTGTAATAAAGAGAAAGATTTTCAACAATCTCGTAATTTGGCTCGCATTGGTCTTAACTATACTTATTTTTAAAATTGTCACGAGCTTGTTTACTGTTTAACGAAAATAAATGTAAGAGTCGTAAAATGCAAGAGATATATTTTTCTGTTCTCTTTTATTGAAAATATTTATTCGATAAACAGACGTGTTCATTTTGTTGGAAAAAACCTGCGAGTATCTTTTTTCACATTTTCTCTCTTCACAGTTTTAATGCAAAAGTACTAAAACTGACGATAAAAGTGTCTCTGTGTGCGCGACACGGAAATATATTCGAGTTATTTTACAAAGATGATACACAAAACAGTTGTGTGAATCATTTCTCGGATGATCTAAATTGGATTCACGTGAATCATCTTTAAGGTCTATGAACTTCCAAACTATGAATATTTGAAGCGAGTGCCAAATTTGCGAATGTCGCGCACCAATCGCAAAAACTTTTGACTTATTGTTAAAACTGAGAAAGACAGAGCACTTGTAAAATTTAAGAAATAACACAGACATATGAATAAATAAATAAAAGAAAAATGGAGAAGATCAAAAAACATTGAGAGTATAAACTAATTTCTATTGTAATTAGTAGCCATTAAATGTTGAAATAAATAAACGTGACCCGAACGGAAGGCTAGGGAAAGTTAAATATTCGAGTTATCTTACTCACGCACATATTACAGAACAATCAATGTTTCAATTGTGCGCTCATGTTTAATGCATAGAAAATATTCGAGCGTGGACTATGCAGGTGGACAAGTTTTGCAGCTGTTAGCTTACAGCCAATTCGACCTGGCGCGCAATTACTAATGCATCGCAAATGCATTAGCACAGAGAGAGAGAGAGAGAGAGAGAGAGAGAGAGAGAGAGAGAGAGAGAGAGAGAGCCAAAACCGAGCGTGCTTGATGGTCGAAGTTTACACTCGTAGCAAATGTCTAAGGATTATTTACAAGTTCGGCCGCAGTGCTGATCCAATTTCCAAGTGGGAATTACGTTCATCGATGACGGCACGTTGCACACGCGAATCTATTACTCTAATAGTATCCGCGCACATATAATTTATACGCAAATGTCCAGAATCTAATCGACGTTGTTTGCAATAAACACTAGAATTTGATTAATGTTAATGTTGTTAATTGATTTTCATTATATCTTTTATCTTTTGTGTCAAAAGATAACTATACAATAGAATTAGTTGTGTATTTTATTTCAGAAAACGCACACATACATTCTAAGTAAAATGTAATTATCTAAAATGTGTAAACAACGCTGTGTGTACGCGATATTATTCTCGCAATCATTTCGAAAACCGCGACATCTCTTTTTCATATTTCACGAAAACTTCATTAGCCGTAAGATGAAATTTTGCTAGAAATTCCGCTCGTTCTGTCTTCTCTGCTTCTCTCGCGCTCGCTGTTAATTCCGCGCACGTATTAAAATGGTATACGATAAAATATGGTATTAGAAATATGAGGATCGCACGCGGAACGTCGGATATAAAAAAAGGACGTGAGAACGAAACAGAATAGATTAGTGTGTTTGAAATATGTGCAAAACGAAATACGAAAAAATCAATATTCGATCAAACGTGAACGTTGCGTGAAACGAAAGCGGATTATAAAGTGCGAAAAGAAAGATTGGCTTGGTTAGGATTGAACTTTTTGAAGAAAAACTGAAGTAATTTAAAAAGAGATACGCAATAATCAAATTTTTATATTATATTTATTGTAAAATAATAAGTGATTTTTTTATATTTTATGTATATTTACATCGTATATTATATATGTATCACATATATATATTTTTTAAGTTACATATAATAGAATGTTTCATAACAGGTTTATATCGATAAAACAATTTGACGATTGCTTCATACAGGTGTCGTGAACAGAGGAGATTCCTTTCGGAGAAGAAGATCGAGATCGAACTCTCTCGCCCCTACCGATCAAGAAAACGAGGAACGGCGAGCGCCGCCCAAGGAGATCACTTCGCACAATGTCGCCATGCTGGGCATGAGAGGGGTTGGAAAAACCGCTCTTATCAGTCAATTTATGACGAGCGAAAGCATAAATGCCTACGACAGACAGAGAGGTAAGAGAATCTTATAAAAAAACCTCATAACTTACTCTGCATATTAAGGCCATGGTCGCACCTGAAATAACAAACGTTATTTTAATCCCCTTGTTGCATAATATCGAAACAAATGCGACTGGTTAACATCCGATTAAAATACAACAACGTACGTTGTAATGTCAGTTATAGTTTAACGCAAGTGAGGTCTAATGTGCGAGCAAATTTCTATCTTATCGGATCCCTCAAGCGAGTTGTCGCCTAACCCTCTTAGATAAATGAGAGATAATAGGATCTGCGAGCATAATCCTGCTCGAGAGCATTGCACAAGATTAAAGCTGTCAACAGAATGTTTTATTACACGAAAGTGTATACAAACGTGTCGCGTAAATGCCAGGATATGAAACCACGTGGAAACCGAGAAATAGATCGTCGTCGTGCGCTTCTTACAATCAATTGCGGCAAATAATCTTTGCTGCAGCTTTACAGAGACGCGTATCGCACGCGTTTATATCGCTCCGAGTTTACGCGACGGTCCCCTGTGTGTATTTCGATCTCGGTGAAAGACGATGTTTTGTCGAGAAAAACGTGCTTTTCAGTCCCCTGAGGTCTTCGGAGAACTATATTCCCGTGAAAGAAGAAGGATTTGTCGATGACGCTTCAAGACAATATGTACTTAAAAAACTAAAGACCAAACCAAGTAGTGGTTTATGACTTTGCTAAAGAAAAGGACGTCTGACCATGTAGTGTGTTTACGAAAATTAAAATATTGCGAAAAAAAATAGAAAGACGTGTGTTTTTTATGGGAAACGCGCGAAATTCTACATTGTGTTGAAATTCTGAATTTCTGTACGCAAGACTTTTTTTGTTTTTAAAAAACCGTATGCCTCCCAGTGTCCATTGCTTGAAAGTATCAGCGATGTCTCGCGTAATATAGAATTCACGTGGGTATCTGGGTCGAGGACCGTCCCAACGACGACGGTGTGAATTATCGTCGTCGCTACCTCAACCGGCCGGCCGTTCATTCTTGCAACGTCCACCTGTTAAAACAGGCGCGATATAAGTTCCTTTCGATCTCGGTATTAATTTCTCGATATTTAGTATATTTTTTATTGTTTTTACTAAATACGCTAGATATCTTTTCAATTATCTCATAAATAAACTGACTGATGTGTTCACTTAAGTCTCGGAATTCGAAAACATTTTAAACATTGCGCCTTAAATTTAATAATAAAATTAATTTAGCAAATTAACAGTTACTTTTATGTGTAAAATGTAACTGTTTTGAAACTTGGCATTATAAATAACTAAAACCTATATACTTTAAATGTATATTAGAAAATTAATTCAGAAAACATATTTTTTTGCATCGGCAGCACTTTCGATATAACTTTTTTCAATAACCTGGTTTCAATAAACTAGTTATTATTTATATGATATAAATAATATATTAAATAATATATATTATACATATAATTTATTATATATTTATAATGTTATATTTTATATTATATATTATATATATTATATACATACTACCGTAAGGTTACTGCCCTCGGTCGCGTGACCGCGGCGGGGTCAATGACCTCGGCCGCGCGGCCTTGGCGGGGTCATTGACCTCGGCCGCGCGGCCTTGGGAGGGTCATTGACCTCGGCCGCGCGGCCTTGGTGGGGGGAGGGTCACTGACCGCGGGCGCGCGGCCTTGGTGGGGGAGGGTCACTGACCTCGGCCGCGCGACCGCGGCGGAGTCAATGACCTCGGTCGCGNGACTGCGGTGGAGTCACTGACCTCGGCCGCGCGACCGCGGCGGTGTTACTGACTTCGGTCACGTGATTACGGTATATATATATATATATATATATATATATATACTCATATGTGTATTATATGGTTTATAAGACGTATATACTATCTGTCATCGCGGTGATAGGTTGTGTTCACTGACAACACGTTAAATAAAAATAACAATAGCGTGCGCCTGTGTTGTGCTAGTATTGAAAAAAGATATATCGAATGTGTTGCCGATGCGAAAAAAATCCGTTTTCTGAAATAATTTTTTAACATACATTTAAAGTATATAGTTTCTAATTATTTAGTGCCAAGTTTCAATACAGTTTACTAAAAAAAGTTTAATCGGAGGTGTTACCGGCGCGAAATCACTACGCTGCAAGGAACATTGTCGTAGCAATCGGTACTATCGAAAGTGTTGCCGACGCGAATAAACGCGACTATCGTACTTCGTGATTCTCTCTTTTTCTCTCTAACTCACACTTCCTGTCTTTCTTTCTTTTTCGCGCTTGTATATGTATGTCATCTGGCAGCAGGCATACGACATGCACACAAGTTGGTCGCACGACGTTTCTGAATCGTAAATTTTTCACTTTGAAACTTTATCGTCGTATATCTCGAAAAATCAGAAACAACAAAAACGCAAAAATACTTTTTTTGTTTTAGTTTTTCAACGTGAATCGAACGAGAATAAAAAGAAATCGATCGGTTCAGTCGTTATTAAAAAATGGCTGATTAAAAATCTCCTTTTTATTGAAATGTCTGATTTTCGCGTATAAGAGACATAGTGTGCTCGCTACTTTGTTGCGTGTGAACTTGGCGCGAGCCACTATCGTGTCTCTTGATAAAGAATGTAATATATATAAAATTGTCTAGAGAAAGTTTATTTTTCTTATGATTTATTCAAAAAAGCACGTTGCTTTTGGCGTTCTCATTGTGTCAACAAAGTATCGAAAAAATCAACTTTCATATTTACCCATTTTACAATAAATATTTCTATCTCATAAAACTTGATTTTAGTAATTGTCAGTCTATCATAATGAAATCTGCATGGTTAATCACGAACACAGTTTTTCTTCATAATTTTCCTTTTTGGTTGGAAAAACTTTCTCGCGACTCTCTCATTGGCGCTTAAGTATGATAAATAAAACGAGCGAGGCTTTGTTCCTCGGTTGGACACATTGAATCCGCCCGTTCGGCGACGTCATCCGGCCGCTATTACGATCGATATTCGCGCGAGTTGTCAAACAATGAAGCACACGACAGAGAAAAAATCCGTATCCTGTCTATTTTTCTCTCTTTCTTTCCTCGAGAATATGTTCCTTTCTTTTTTAAATTAATTAAAATATAACGGGAGTTTCTGTTTACGTTTGCTCTACGACTGATGAGCAATGTGTTTGCGTCCAAATGGAAATAATTCTCTCGAAACGTATATGTATATCGAGATCGGAGAAACTTTCGAAACAATCGGTGCTTCTAGCGGTATTTGCGTATTGTTGCAAGACATATAAAGCTCTCGGATGTGGAACACACACACACAGAGAGAGAGAGAGAGAGAGAGAGAGAGAGAGAGAGAGAGAAAGTTCGGCAACTGTGTGTTGCGACGATTGTAATAAGATCTTTGGAGTTGCCGTTTTATAAAGAACAGAGATAAAAGTTTTTGAGAATTGATCGAATTTCACGAGAAATCCTATTTGCGAACTGTCGACGCGGAGCGTCAGAAAAGCAAACTCGATGATGTTTCTCTCTATATACCTGCGCCCTGCAGTGTAAAATTGGGAACACAGCGCACCGGGCGACCTGTACCAAATGTCAAGAGGCCACTGAGAAGCAGTGATGAAAGTTTTGGCAGGCTAGCACCAAGAGCACCGAGGTGGTGGGGGCACGCACACAGCGAGAACCGCCGTCCGTGTGCGTGACGTCACGCTCGGCTGTTCGGCTCGTGGAAGAGTGCAGACGTACTATGTTCCGCCTCGCTTCCACCAAGCC